GTCTCTGGCAGGTTCTTCAGTATAAATCCAGTCTTCTGTAAGGAAGGGGGAAAAGGCAGTTACATCTGTTGGAGAAGAGTCAATCTGATTGTGGAAATGGGGCTCGCATGGAGTATGTGTAAGGGGTAGGACAGACTTACTCTTCCAAGTGCTGTTTCTGGATTAGCCACGTATGCAAACCCACACCACCACAATCATCCTGCTGCTGCATTCCTCTTATCTGGGACCAAATTGACATGGCAAGGAAATCTCACCATGGGAGCAGCACACCATTGCATTTGGCCATTCAAAATTAAGCAGCAGCCTTAGCAAACCCAACCAGGAGCGTAGGAAAGCTGGGATGTACTGGGTGTTGCTGAGAAGAGGATGCTGCTGAAAAGAAGAGGGGTGCTGCTGGAAAAACCCACAGCTGTGTTCTTGGTTTGTAGATCGATGTTGTCTGGCATGTGGAAATAAATCCTACCAACAAGCCCCAGAAAATGCTGCTGTTCATCATGGCTTATGTTGAATTTTTAGTGAGTGGGATATAGTAAGTAACTGAGCTCCTTTTGTTGAGTGTGAAATAGCAACACTTGGAGGAAAAAATTTCTCCAGCATCTTAGGGTCTGGTGGTAAATGGAAATGCGCTTGTTGAACTTTGAGGGTGGGACTGACATTTCAGACTGAGCACCAGGTTCACTTTCATTTCTGACAGCCCTTGAGGTCTGCATCAAACCTGTTTGGTCACGTGAGCCGAGGCTGTTCCTGGTGTCAGCCCTCCTGGTTTGCAGTGCAGAGATGGAGCATGGCAAGTGCCGGGAAGTGGCTTACAGGGCATGTTTTCGGTCCCAGCTCTGCCCCAAAGGTCCCTTTGTTCAGACACTCAGCTGCAGCGCGGGCGGTTGCTTGCCGCATGATGCAAAAGGGAACAGAGATTTCTTTGTTGTCCGGGGCCCGGCTGCCCTGCCGGCAGAAATTGAACCGAAATCAGCAGTTTCCATCCCTTTCCCTTTCCAGATCTGGCTACCATTCTGCTCGTGTACTCGGGCATGAATCTACTGGTGCAGTGCATGTGTGGTGCTCTGGGTTTGTCATCCTGGTGGTAAAAGAGAAACCTTTCATTTCTTCTTAATAACGTCGTCTAAGGTTCAAACCTGTAATTTCAGAGGGCATATCTGCTCAAATCGACGCTTGCATGAACTCCTGTTATGTGTGGCAAAGTTATCGAGCACAGGAATCGGGCATCTTGCTAAGCTGTGGCTACTCAGGATCGCTCTGCTTCGAGCTGAGGACAGAAGTTCCTGCTAAAAGCTGCTCCATGCCAAGAAAATTACCCAGAATTGCTGACTAGTGTTGGTGGCATGTGGGGCTGGACTGATGCTGCTGACATTTTAACACTACGCCCTGGCTAGCAGAAAGCACACTCAGCACTGTTTCGGGAAATAGTTGCTGGAGCTGGCGTGGAGCAGGGCACAGAGCTTGTTTTGCAGTGGGATGGGGTTGGAGGTGGCCCCTGTTGCGCCGCCTTCCATCAGGCTGGCTTCACACACGTGTTGCTGAGCTCAGCGACTGGCTGCCGTCAGCAACAGGTACTGCTTTTCCCTTGCAGAGCCTAAGCCAAAAAAAGGGATCATTGTGACAGCAGGAGTGAATGGTAAAAAAAGGCAAAAGGAAATGAAAAGTCGATAAAAATCAACTTTTTTTTTTTTTGCATTTTCAGAGAGGTGTGCTGAGAATCAGAGATGAAGGCTCAAGTATGTTGCATAAAATACTTTAGAATATTGTATTTGGAAAAAGCAAAAACTTCTTTATAGAGTAATTCCACTTGCTACTGAGATTTAATAGGCTTTCAAATAAGATTTAGCAGATACATGCAAGAACATAAACTAGATACAGATGTGCCATAATGCCATTTTTCAATTGTCAGCCTTGGCACAGGACATGCATGAATATTTATAGCATGGCTGGTTACTACATAGTTGAGCAATTTATCACATTATAGTTTTTACAGACAACATTGTCGATTTATTTTAAAAGCCCTTTCTTTGTGTTACTTTATTTCCCATGTTTTAGGGGCCTAAATTTTTAAAGAAGTGGGCAAAAGAGTTAATCAGGGTATGAAATGGAGTACGTACCGAAAGGAAGGAGGAAGGGTGATGGGGTTGGTGTAGGGTTGAGAGGTGGAGGAAGGTTCTGGTATGGATGTGGGAGCCTGGCCAGACTGTCATCTATCCCACTGGGGAACCCACAGAGGCAGTGCCTAGGTTCTGAAGCTTAATGGGATGGACAGGAGACAGCAGAGGCAATTTCTGCCCTCCAGGGGGTTTGCATTAGCGTATTTCGTAGTGGCTTATGACTGCCAACATCTTTACTGGGCGCTGTGCCTTCTGCCTCCTGCTTCTTCTCGCTGCTCATCCATAGCCATGTCACCCGGGTGCTTTGTGGAAAGGAGGAAATAGGAGCACGCTGGTGAATTTTTCTGGAGCAGCCACTCATTGGCACGGAGAAGGGGAAAATGCAGCACTTGCACTGCAATAAATACACTGGCTCTGTGGAAAGCTTGGTGGGTGTCATGGAAAATTGGCTGGTTTTCTGGTCCCGAAACTTTGCGCTCAGCATTGCTGTAGTTAAGAGAGAGTTTCTGAGTCTTTAGTTCTTGTGTCAGATCATTGCACAAAAACTCAGGCTGCTGCTGAATGTGTGCATTGCTGGGAGAGCACATCCATTTGAAGAGGCAAATTTTCTTATCTTTACCTTGCCTTTTTTTTTATTTTTTAATCTTTCTTTAGTGCCTGCATGATTTTTCTTTTGCTTTCTTAAAATGTTTCTTTCAATAAATGAGATAAACCTGCTTGGTTCAAAAAGAACTAGCAAGTTTTGCTCACTCGGTGCCAGTCTGTGTACTGGGGTGGGCCCGCAGCCAAGGTAGCGTTTCAGTTAGGGTTGGATTTGGACAAAACAAAGTAACTAATTATTCTCTGCAGCCTTCTGTCCAGGTTTGTGTCAGTTTGGACTCTGGCTCCGAGTGCAGTGGGGCTTGGCAGAGCGCTAGGACAGCTTTCAGCGTGCTGGTTGAATGCACACAGGCAGCTGCACCACAGAGAGCCAGGTCTGCTCGGGGAAAATGGAGGAGAATAAAGTGTCTGCTTTCCAGCAGCCGTGTGTATGCTACTGCAAAGGACTCCTGAGTGTTTTCATCCCTGGAGTGTGAAAACTGATGGCCATGGCTGTTGGATGCAGGAAGAAATTGTTACTCACCCTGGGAGTGCCAGCGTGGTGCTGGCAGAGTTGGGAGTTACTTTGCAGCAGTGTCGTAAGCATGTTGGGTTTCTTCCTGACTTTCTCCAGACCTTTCCAATTACTCTGGAGCTTGTGGTGCCCCAAAAGAAGCCATGTTTTATTAACCACAGCATAACTAAGGATCTGCAGCAAGATGATGCTGTCCCTCCTCTTGGGCCAGTAGGAGCAAGATGTGACCAACAGTCCCTTGTCCCAGGGAGTTTAAGAGTCAGCAGTGGAAGGAGAGACCGAGAGGTGAAGTCACATCAGAGTTGTCATGGACCAGAGACAGAAACACATCATCTGTTTTTCCTTCACACTGCCCCTTTTGGGTAGATCAGTGTTTATTTGCTTGAACACAAATTAACGTTTCTTGTTTAGGTGCAGTTAAAGGGTGATGCTGCTCTAAAAATGATCTATCACAATCACGGGTTGATGCTGAAGTCAGTAAGTGGGCTTGATATGTCATTTTCCTTGGTAATTGACTTTGCCTCTCGGGCAAATTAGTGGTTTTGGGTGCCCTTACTGCATTTCTCCTTGCAAGGTGGAGGGAGCAGATCCTTCCTGCATAGGGGGCATGAAAGTTGTTGCTTCTTACTCCGTTATCAAAATAGTTTCACGTGGAACTGCGGTGAGATTTGAGAAGTCCCAGGTGAGCACATAACAACCTCTGCAAACCTGCAGTGCTAAAGTCTTCTCCCTGCAGTCCCTCTCCACCATCCCCTGTGCGCATCTGCTCCACTGCTTCTATTCCCAGCCCCTCCAGGTAGGCCTGGAGTGTCCCAGAGGCTTCCTCGTGAGGTGGAAATCCTCATCCTATACTCTCTGCCCAGCTTGAGTTTTGGGCTGTAGCCCCACACCCAGGGTGGGTGCTAGTGGAAAGGTGCCAGGAAGAAGCTGAGCTGAGCACAGTCATCTCCCTCCTCTGGAGCTCCAGAGCTAACTCTGGTCTTTAGGTAATGGTGGTGGCAGGGAAGCCTGAGTGGGAAGAACAGCTTGAGCTTGCACTTGGGACAGTTTATAGCCAGAAGTTGATTGACTGTGCTTTCCTTGGCTCTCCCTCACCCCACTGGCCACCTGAGAGTCAGCCCTGCTCTGCTGCTGCCACCAGCAGGTATCCTCTCCTTGAAACTGACTTTTTTCTTGCCTTGTCCTGCCGGAGACGAGAGGAATGTCTGCAGACGGGTGGTTTGTAGATAGCACCTGTGTGACTGACAGAGGGAAGAGAGGTGTCATGTAGTCCAGCTCTGTTTCTGTAGACCCTTCAGCAGACACGACTGGGGGAGCTACGTGAAGAGGTGTGTTTTCCTCACATCAGTTGCAACCATCAAGCTTATCTTATACAATAAGTAACAGAAACTCTTGGTCTGTGAACAGCTCTGAGCACCACTTACTAATACCCAGGCTTTTGTGAGGGTCCTTAAACAAGGTTAGATGTGTACAAAGGTTGATGGGAGAAGGAAGGAGATTTCACTGTAGCCAGACAGGGCTGTTCTTGTGCCGTTTATTTTTTTGCAAGAGTCTTACGCCGTGGAGGTTTGATGACTGTCGTGACCACTGTTAACAGTGTCTCTCAGGGCAGGTACCACTGGTGTCTCCTGCATCTTGTGGCTTCAGTGAACCACATGGTCCTAAGCTGTCAAGCCACCACGGTGAACTACATGTGTTGTCACCCAACCAGTGACCCCAGATGCCCCCTTGGGTCCCACTTCTGACCTCTGTCTCCCTGTTCTCTCTTTCAGGCACCTGTGTGAAGTGCAGCAAAGGGGTGTATGGAGCAAACCAGGCTTGCCAGGCCATGGGCAACCTCTACCATGACAGCTGCTTCACCTGCGGAGCCTGCAGTGAGTACCAGGGGGTACTGCCACGGGGCCAGGCCCTGGAGCTAACTCTTCGGGCTTAACATTTTTCTGGTGTAAAGAGGGGGGAAAAAAGAAGGTGGGTATTGAATTACGTGCCACATGGAGTCTGCCACAGCTGTTTGTTTTGGTGTTGGCGGTGGTTGCTGTTTGTTTTTGAACAGGTTGTTGCGAGGCACGTAGAAAAAATATTTTGGATTGTGCCAGGCTTCTGCCTTCTGATATGGGGGATGGTTGTTTTCATTCCTCTGCCTCTCAGTTATAACCACATTTTTTTTTTTTACATGAGTATTTTTTCAAAGTGGCAGTGAATATGCCTTAGCTAGCACATAGAGGGTTCTTCACAACCACTCTGGCCTTTCAGTCTGAGGACCCCAGGGAAGGCCGGTGGAACTGGTTATTGTGCAGAGGTATCAGAGCTGGGAGCAGCGATGATGGGCCCTGTGAAATCTACCCAAGAAACAGAGTAAATAGTTCAGGTGGCCCTCCTGACCTCCCTGCTGCTTGTCAGACCCCCGTGTGAAGCTTGCTGGAGCATACAGCATGCTGCAATGTGTGGATCCTCCTGAGCGGCTTTTCAGTGAAGTCTGTAATGGAGCTGGGGTTAGGAACAGGCCACCTGATTTTAAATCGTGGCTGTGTTTGTAAGACAGTGTTTTTTCTGTTTCATTATGTTTAACTCCAGCTCTAGTAGCGTATTTTTAGAAATGTATCTGTATATGTGGTGGCAGAAAAAAAAATAATCTTCTGCTGCTTTTGTATATATGAGTTTGGTTTTCCCAGATGAGGCTTAGGGTTTTTCTCCTGGGTTGTATTTAGAGTTGTAAACTCATCAGGACTGCATGTGTTTTATTTGGAGCTCTAAAGTGGGAATAAATATAGAAAGATGTGTATGCTTTTTAATAATAGCTGAACCTTGAACTGTGCTCAGCTGTCCAACACCAGCTGCCCTGCCTCACCTATGTTTTCAGTATAGCACTTCACCATCATCCAGCCAAAAATTGAAAAAGTGGTCTCTGCGTGTAGTGGCAGTTTCCTAAAGGCTCGGAAGTCAGCATCTCACTCTTCTGTCCTCTCTTATAAATTAATTAAAACTTAATTCATTAATCTCCTGCCATGGAGAGGATTCCTGGCTGCAACCAGGGCTTTGCTTCAGGGACCTCTCACCCTCTATGGCTGGGACGCCTCTGAGCTGCCCTTGTACCCAAAGCTCTTGTTAAAAATAATCCAGCAGCAGGTTCGAGCTGTCTTAAATTTCTAAAATTACTACTGTGCAACTGGTGGTTTAGAAAGAAACTCTTTCAATCCTTTTAGAATGAATTTTACAATCTTTATTTGGAGACCAGTGTTAGAAAGGTACTTGTGATTGCAGAGGTATCCATGGTTACTTCTGTTTATGTTTGTCTGTATTTGGTTAAAAATTAGCTTAATCCCATTTCTAATGAGGTGGGTTGAAAGCACAGCTATTTCCTGCTTATCCTAAAAGTCAGCCCTTTCCAAAAGGTTTCCAGTGCAAGACAAAAAGGTGTGGATGTCAGGTGAGATGTAGAAAGGTGGAAAGAAGCTCAGGTTAGCAAAGCGAAGTCCATTTTCTCTCTTACCTAGGCTGTAATTGAGAAATGTGCTGAGTAGATGTGTTGGGACAAAGGGTTTCAAATGGAAAGTAGAATTAAAAAATAAAGCTAGGGAAGATGGTGGGGAGGGGAAAAAAAGGTTGGGGAACCTGGAGCAATAATAATATTTCTCTGAGTAGAAAATACTGTATTCCAATACAAAATAAAAAAGGGGAATGGAAGTCATGGGACGATAAGATAGAGCCTAATTCAGCTTGTTATGTGCAGGAGAGCAACCAGCAACCACCTTCCCATTGTGGCAGTGTCTGTACCAAGATGGAAACAGCGGTAGCCAGCAGGGTGACATGGATGGATGGAGGGGAGGGTATGTGGTGGCGTGGCATTCCCAGCACTCTCAGAAGAGTGTCACCGGAGGGAGGCCCCCACAGTAGTGGTGTTTGCCTCATGTGCACACACCTCTATGGGCAGCAAGGCTTGCAAGAATCGGTCCAGAGCTGGGGGTAGTTTCCTGCACTGCCCCCGTTGCTACAGGGCTTTGCTGCCTGGCTGGTTCTGATTCATCAAGCCCCTCTGCACTGTGGCTGCTTGACTCATGATGCCTGGGGTGGTACATGCCGTCCTGCCCTGCGCTCAGGGAGGAAATGTATCCGAGGGGAATCCCCCCTTTTGCAGACTGAAGTAATTTTCCCAGTCCCACAAACCATCAGCTGCTGTGGGCACAAAGGACACACAGCTCTGTCGTTCACCCAGGGAGAACACATGCCTCTCTGCAGGTTTTCTGTCGTCTGTGTCGCTGCAGTAGATGTGATGAGACCATTTTATCTGCCAGAAAAATAAATATTTGTTTGGACAGTGTTGCCTGTCTGGCGGAAACTCTGGTTTCTAGCTAAAAAGTAAGTAGTGCTTTTAAGGTCAAGTGGAGTTCATCTTGGACACCATCCAGGACAAACTTGACTTTGAGAAGTCAAGGTTGCTCATGATTTCAGTCCTAAAATTTCTGCTCAGATGGAACACTGACTAGCCTCTACTCCAATAAATAAAATATACAAAATTACCTATTAAGGTAAAGCATATTGTCCTCCAGATATTTATAACCACTGTCCTGCTGTTTTCATTTTAGGGAGGATTTCTAATTTTGCTTGTAGTTGGATTTGTGTCCAAATGTGTATTGGTTTCTCTGACAGGGAAAACCAAGAAGGTCTAAGGAGCAAGGGGTTGTGGGGGGGAGTGATACCTCATAGTACCAAATTTCCTCCACCCTCTGCTTCCCAATACACATGTTCAGAGATAAATGATAGAGCAATTTGTTGAACAGAGCTGTGCATACATTACAGGGTTCAGTTGGCAGGAAAAAAATGTACTGTTTTATCTGAGCCCATGGCATGTAATGCAGAAATTTGGCTTAGAGGTCAAAACAACAGATTTAGAATTATTACTTTGGCATAAACGTCTCATTTATCTTCTTGTTTGTTACAGGGCAGAGGCACAAACAAGGCAGCCTTTTGCAGAGAGGGAGAGAAAAAAAACTTCAGGCTCTTTCTGCAGGATTAGTAATAAATGATATTGGCTTTACAGGAGGGCCATGAAAGTAGGTTAGGAAAAAAAAGGCCCCAAAACACATACAACTGTTTCCTGCAAGCTCAAAGTGTCTGTTTCCGTCTTGAGTTTTGGGGTGTTTTTTTTTGTTTTTTTGTTTTTTGGTTTTTTTTAATAGCTTGTTGGAAAAACACTTGTAGCTGTCAAATGGTTTGTAAGATGTTAACTATTTAAGTTAAATAACTACTTTATACCTCCTCAGAACACAACATATACAAATATTTCCAGACGTTATTTACTGTTTCGGAGTAAGGAGACCTTATAAATTATCTACATTTAAGTACAAGTATCACTCTAACTTACTTGGGTGTTTTAGTGTTTTCTCTAGGATTCAGCCAGGCTTATATCTGACTGCCACAGGTTGTCTGGAAAACAGGCCTTTTTAGCTCTCCTAGCAGTGTAATTTAGAGTATGAGGGACTTGTACTTGAACTACTTAGTCCTCAGAGGAAATCTGAAAGCTAAAAAAGCGCAAGGGAAGTGTCAGAGATGGCTGTGAAGGAAATCAGAAGGCAAGGAAGGAAATCAGAAAGAAAGAACTGATTGCAAGGTGGTTTGAAGGAAAGTTTGATGTTGAGCTGCAGCACAAGGGCCGAAGTGAGGACCAGATTTTGGACCCTTACTGCGGAGAGCTGGAGACCTTGCACGTTTGCCGGATTACCAAATTCAACCTTTAACCTGTCAACATCACTGCATTACTTTCTTTTTATTTTTTGTAAGCTCAGATTGATGTTGATGTCTGTGTGGGGGTAACAGGCTGCTGTTTTGGTGACAGAGCTTGAAATAACTGTCTGCCTTTTACCACCCTCTGGGTATATATTTTTTTTATTTAGCATTTCACAACATAGTTGTGTGTAGAGGTATCAAGGGTCATTTACTGAACTAGGTAGCTAAGCTATTGAAGCGGTGTTCTCTGCAAGCATAGCCCTCTGCTGGGACTAATTAGTCTTGCTGCAGTGATTATAAAGCATGGCTACTTAAAACAATGCACTTCTTGTTGTCTTTGGGCTAGTTATTTTGAATAAGCATGTCCTGAATTGCTATGTAACTCCTGGAACAACAAGGCCCTGGTTTTTTTGGCACCTCTAAGTAACTCTACAAGTAGAAAGTCACCTTTTTCTGCACACGTGATTTAATTCCAGATAGCAGGATAGCCAGCCTTGCCAAGTGAATTTCCTCGTGGCACATGTATGTGCATGCTTATCTTCAGATGCAGAAACTGCCATCTCTTCTAGTGGAGGCAGAATTTACTGCCTTTCATTGGATATAAACCTACTACACCAACTGACATGCTTGAGGAATGTGTAGATTTTCAAAGTGGAGAGTGCAAAGCATTGCCAATAATCCCTCCTCAACCTAAATTGGCTGCTATGCTCTTGCTGACTTTTTATCTTCCATCTCTCAGCTCACTGGTGAAAATTCTGTTGTTCATAAGAAGTGCTTGCTGTAGATGAGAGAAGCAGGGCAGGTTTTACAGAAGGATGACAGTACTTGTTCCTCTCCTGGCCACATTTCAGGGCAGCGGTGTTTTGGGGTCTGAGCTGAAGGGACTTTGGCGTGGGTTCAGGTGTCCTCTGTAGATACCCTTGATGGAAAGGTACAAGTGTTCAGCTCTCACAAGGGAATGCAGTCAGGGATTTATCAATATGGTAGTGGTTGCAGTCAGTTGCATGAGTTTTAGTGCTGGATAAAACGTCTGAAATCGTTAGGACAGTGTGAGAAAAAAGTTGAAAACTTCAGTGGAATAAATTTCCAGTCTTTTCGGTTTTTTATTTTATAATGTCGTCTTCAAAGTACTGTTTTCTGTTAAGAACAG